AGGCCCATGTCTTAAGTCTACTTCAAAACTTATATTATATTCTGGGTTTTCTATGAGTCAAACAATGCCTTAGAAACCTTTACAGATTAAGGCAAACACTTTAGGAGGCAACATGAGTCAAAGTACATTAAAGATATACATGTGTTTAATGGCTGAATTCACTTTTATTATTTTAACCAAGTCAATGAGAAAGGCAAGTAAGATCATTTATCAATTTTTTACTTAATTTGAAACAGAAATGTTGATATGCAACCTCATTATTATTTTCAACTGCCTGTAGTAATGACAGGATTGTCCATACTGTGGAACCTAATAATGAAAAGAAAACAGGATTCAAAACCAGAACTTTTTCCCCTTTGAGAAACAGGAAAGATGCCCTTCTACATAGACACAAAGTTTTTAATTTAATACTAAGAAAAATTCTGACAAATATGACCATCCTTACTTATAAAAGTAGTAAGCAGACAAGAAAGTGGGAGATCTTATCCCAGAGCATCAATGGATCAAGAAGACATAGGATTCAAAGTTATTGCTGATGTACCACACCTTGACTCTGCCAGTAAGGCTGTCAGCAAAGCAAACTTCTATATAATAAAGAAAAGGGAGAAGGCAGCTGGGGTCTGTGAAATGCTTTCTCAGCACCAAGCTAGGTACTGACTGCTAAAGTATTTGATGCTTGTTTGATGGATGTAAGGGCAAATTACATGCCAGTAATTCCTGCTGTCACAGTCCTCAAAACCTACCCCAATACCACAGACATTCAAGGACAAACATGATGGTTCCTTCTATCAGAAAATAAGAAGGCAAAAGATCAGTCAATAAATTTCTGTATCTGCAAGCCTCAGCTGAATTCCTTCCCTTACAAAGCCACATGCAAAAGATTTCAGGATAACAAGAAAAGCAAGCCAAGAGGAAGATGGAATATATAACTGTAAACAGGCCTCCGAACGGAAGGTGAGCAGGGTAGGTAAGACAGAGCTATGAAGTAGAAATTACTAGAATGTAGTCTTCTGCTGCAATTTTTTCTTTTCTCTGGTCCTAAAACTAGCAGAGGCCCCTTCCACAGAGATGAGATTACCTTGAATCAGTCATAAGTTCTTACAGCTCCAGAACTCACATCCAGCTGTGGCTGCTTTTTGATGGCATGGAGAGACAACTAAACAGTTACATGCTAAGACTCTAATACAGAAATCTCATCTCTTTCTAAGTTACGAAGTAGCAACAGCCAGGGAATTCACATGGACACGACTACTCTGAGGACATCTGATGAAGCGAAATTCTCTTTTCTCTCAGAGGAACACTTAGCAGAGACAGCTTTCTTTCTAAAATTATCCTGACAACACAGAAACAATTGATTAAGCTTCCAAGACTTTAAGAATGAGATCTAAGACTAGGAATTTGAGACATTTCAGAATAAGAATTTTTTCAAAAAAAACTCCTAATTTGAGGGACAGACAAGGCAAGAGGTTGAAATTGGAAGAATGGTGAAATCCTTTCCATGGAAAAAGTCTAATAACTGTATAGCAGAGCCAGATTTCCTGCAAAATCAAACGTAGCTTCATCTGGTAAAAAGTAACATGCAGAGACTTATTTTTCAGCTGAAGGAAGGAAACGAGAATTTTCAGCTTTCATTTGAAGTAACTTAAATTTTAAAAAGGATATTAAGACCAGTGGTCTCAAAGGTTCTCAGCACAGAAAACTCATCTTTCTCTTTTAAAACCTGCAAAACTTAATTCACTTCCTTGGAGGAGTTCTGATGTATCTGACATTACCTGCAATGGGTAATAGACACCTCCATCAGAATGCCTCTTCATTTAGTCCTTCACCTAAAATTTTAATAGGAGGATCCAGTGCATAATAACAGCAAGTGTTTAATAAGGACTGAATTTCCTTTCTCGTTAAGGTAATGCAAACCTGATGAAGTATGTAAATGCCTTCTGGACAAAACAAGAAATTTTAGACCTGCCAGAATGCTCAGTAAAGTGTTACAGCTCCATGGCAGCTTCAGTCATTGTTACTCATTAGTCTTTCCTGCTGTAAAAAAAGTCTATAAAACTACTGAAGAAAAACTGATAAAAAGAAAGAACCTCAGAATGAAAAGAAATACTTAAGCAAGCTAAAGAACCTAGAGAAGGAGAAGCCATGAAACGTGTTTCATGCCATGGAACATGAAGCGATGAAACACATTCTGCTTTGTGCAGAACTCGGTGCTGTTGCTTTAAGTTATAACTGTGTGAATATGCCTAACGGGTAACTCTCCTCCAGAATCTCAGCTTCAGCCATACCAAGACTATGAATGCCAAACAAGATGGACACTGAAAAACACTCAGCTCTGCTAAAAGAGAAGCATCTTCAGACAAGTAGTAGCAAAACTTTAGGAGCTCACAAGCCTTAATGATGAAAGCTTATGTGCCCGTAGCCTATAAACACTGAACAACTTAGGTAGGAAGCTGGGGATAGATCCATTGTCTTCAGATGTATCCATACTGGCCAAGTTGCTCTTCCAAACGTAAGTCCTTTTTCTGCAATGGACTACCAGTCTTCTGTTCTACACTTATTCAAAAGAAAATGTGACAAAAAGTCTTCTGTAACCTGAAAAGAAGCTGAATTTGACATTTTAGTCCATGGGCTTCTTAAGGAATCTTTCAAGGTTAACATTTCAGAACTACAAGAGAAAGATGTTAACTAAATAACTTTCCCAATTCTTTAGAAATAAAGAGGATTTTGGAATATCACTCTTTTCCTGATGCAAAGAGCTGTGGTAACATATACCATAATGTTGGGTTTTTTTATTTCTGTTTCACGGATGTGAAATACTGCTGGGAAAACACCACCCAGAATGCTGGAATATTGCACTGTTTAGCCATCATTACAGAAAATAAGCCTTGTAGTTCTTGTTTTTGCAATTGATTCATGAAGCTTGTACCATATCCTTCATTTTTGAAAAAACAATAAATCTTTGGAACAGTTTTTCTTTTTTTCTACATGCTGATTTTTTTCAAGTTTACAAATGTCAGTCAGTGTGATCTAAAGAGCAAACCCATTTCATACCAATGACAAACACCAGCAAGCCTAATTTTAGTAACTGTAACTTTTGCTTCCTCTTCCTACAGTTCTGTAAAGAGGCTGAAACACGACAGTATTGACTCTTTCTCTAGTCCACGAAAGAATGCAGCATGTTTAAATGTTGAACTCATTAAGAGAAACTTCGCATTTTCTAATTACTTAAATATGTCAATATGGTCATTTTTCCATCAAAGGCCATAGCTACTCAAAGCCTTATGAACAGTTCATCCTCTTTTTAATTTAAGGAAAAGCTTGACAGATAAATATTTTTTCAGGCACAGCAGTATTTCTGTAGTTAATTCTAATTTATGCAGCACATTTCTGATTTCCCAGTTTAACTGCCATCCTTGTTCAAGCCATTCGCTTTGCCTGTATTCTGCTAAGATGCCAAGATTTCATGTTGATGGGCATTTAATTTGCATAACAGTGAAGATTATATTAATTCTACAGAAATTTCAAGCAAATATACTATATTCCAAATGTTTTCAAAAGCAAAGTTATTCTGAATTTGTTAGACTGATAATGTGAAGAACAAACGACTGATGATTTGAAGATAAAATTCAGTCTATAAATGTTGTCATCTATGACACTCCACTATGCTAGAATCATAAAGGCTTGCCAGATTTCATTGCAGTCATAATTAGAATCATTACATTGTAATTCAGGTTGTGTTTTTCATAAAGATGAACCGAATTAGTTTTAATATAGTTAAAGCTAGGTAAACCCAACAAGCCTACGTATGCAAGACAGATGTCAGTACAGATAAATATTTGTTTTCCTTTTCATAATGCAATTATAGACCAAAATTTACACCTGAAAGAAAAAATTACATACTACAAAATATTCAAATTTCGCAAGAAGCAGACATAAAGCAAGAGTACCTGTATACCACTATTTTCAAAAATTAGCTTTAACTCACAGTTATAGCATCTTCATTTCACGGCATAAAAAAATTAATGGGATAAGAATACTCAATAAATCATTCAGAAATAAGAAAAAGAAAATTTCACAAGTTAGTTTGCAAGAGTTTAAGCAAAACATCCAAGCTCCAACAAATCTCCATCAGACAATTGGGATTTATAATAAATATTTTGCCACATAATTAAATACCCATAAACACAGAAGGTTACCAAACAAAAACATGTCTCCAATGGACAACAAAATCTCTATAGCAACCTTCAATATGGTTCACAGAAAATTTCCTTGTACTGAGGTCTCGTATCTCTTGTTTTTCCTATAAATATAATATAGCTAGACTACAAAAATTCATATAAGACTTGCATAGACCTTACTAGGTACAATGTGATTCAATAGAAGGACTTAAAAATAATGTCTCAGCACGGAATTCCCAGTTTGCCCTCACAGAGCTCCTGTATTTGCACAGCAATTGACAAAGCATGTTCAACCACTTACAGCCAGAAATCATACTGAAAGCTAGATTCTCAACTCATATACTCCATTTTAATTTATGCTGCTAGATAGCCAAACAATAGCTGGAAGATAAAAAGAATAAACTTAGGGAGAGGAGAACAGAATACTGTGAGAAAAAATATGTTCCATTTTACAGAATGTTTTGCAAAACATTTCTTTCCAGTTTATCTTGTAGATAAAATTCAACCATATCAATGTTCTAAAAAACGGTCCAAGTTAAATCATAACTGCTTTAATCCAAAATATTTCTGAACAGAGACACAGTAGCTATTTTAATGCTAGGTTATGATAGGCATGACATTACTTCCTTTGCAATAAATCAAACACTTTTGGAATGCTGTCAAATTATTTTACACCTAGTGATTTTGTTTCATTCAACATCTGATACTTGCATGCATTCTTTGGTATTTTTCAGCAGTCCTTTTCTATAACAAAAGCAGGAGTATAGCAGCAGAGCAACTTTTCTGTGGAGTTTCCACATTAACAAAATAGAACTGACTTACCATGTTCCACCCTGGATAGAGGTAGTCTGTCCCAACAAATTCAAAATAGTGAGCAAAACCTTCTTTCAGCCACACATCCTCCCACCAAACTGGAGTCACAAGGTCACCAAACCACTGCAAAGAAAAGTTCAAATGCACATCCTTCAGGAAACCATATTTGCATATATTTCATTTATACAGAAAACATTCTCCACAAGTTTTAATAACAACAGTAGTATACACCACCCATTGAAACTCATTAACTGTTTTTTTCATGTACTAATTAATTCAGCCCTTACAGGATGCATAAGTTAAGGAAGTAAAACATTAGAAAAGAAAAAGTGGGGAAAAGAAGCATTGAGGACAGTATTCACAGTGTCAACTTTAGCTATCTGAAGTAAATGTTCACTAAGGTTTAAGGGACTATGCACCGGACAGAAAAAGGTCTGAATAATCTGATTCATTACCTGGAAACTTCACTATGTATAGTATGAAAACTGAAAAACTGGGAACACATTCCCCACCTCAGACCTAAATTTTATCATTTCTTTCTCCACAACGTCTGCCCACTAAGATTTACAACACTAGCGATGCTCCTCTCAGAAGGTCTTCTAAGGAAAGCAGTTTTATATAATAATGCCATCTTTCTGTGAGTAGGACTCAGATGCCTAAAAGCAGGTAGTTGATGCCACTTAGAGAACATACTAGGGTATCTGAGACACCCACACAGGCCTAGAAAACTTCATAGAGGACTTACAGAGAAATTGTAATTCTCTGTATACCAAGCAGAGCTAATATATACTTCTCTAATACCAAGCAGAAGCAGAGGTATCTGAAACAGCATGAGCCACCAATGTATATGCAAAGGAACCCTACTTGAGGGTTGAACTGCCTTTCCCATTCTCCCAGGTCACCCCTCAGTTTTGCCTACTAACTTCAATCTAATTAAGCAAGGACAGAAATCTCAAGGATAATTAAACTCCTATGAAAGTATGTAGAGATCATCATCTGAAAAGAGGAGAAGAGCTGTAACTGAGGGTGAGGCAAGAACACATCCATTAGATACTCTGCTTAGTAAGCCATCAACAGACAAATCTCTCACAGTACAGGAAATGCGGGTGTCAGAGGGATTTTACACAGAGCTGAGACGATCACTGGAAGACAAATGAGGACAAGTATTTAAAGGAAATCAGATGTCATAAATTCTTCTGCTGATGGATGACCCTGTTTAAATGATTGTAATGGCCCTGTGCAACCTGAATCACTGTAACACCAGTAGTAGAAGTAGAAACATATACGCTATTATGAAAACATATTTCATACTCTCTGTAGCACCTTTTCTGCCAAACAAATACCAAAACTTTGTTTCAGTAAAATTATGTCAGTTTTCTCTTAATATGAATGAGAATAATTAATAATCAACAGAAATAATTTTGAGCTTTCATGTGTTTGCAAGCTCTAAAAATACACAGAAAGGGAGCAGCAATTAAGTATTCCAGAGGCAGACTCAGGTTAGAGCAGAAGAGCTGCTGCTGAACTGTAATGAGAGTGAAGAATGAATGAAAGTGGAGTTGGCCAATAAGCAGTTTGCTTTCATGACATCTGCCTCGTTTGAAGGCTTCGTCTGGGACCTGAATGAAAGGTCTTGCTTCTGTGCATGTCTTTGTGGAGTGAGAATAGGGCCAAGGAAGGATCAGCACTGCAGTGAGGATCCAAAGCAAAGTAAACACTAGTGCTTCAAAGAACACAGTAGCAGAAAGATTACCAGATTGCCACACAAGGCTCAGGATTTGAATGAAAAAATGAAGCAAAATGTGACAATGAACATCACTAACAACCAACTTAAGAATTTAGGGAGAAAAGATAAGGTTGATAAAAGTTACATTCATACGCTAAGTGAAACTAAAATTAATGCACACTCAGTGAGCATAACGTAGTTGAAAGCTACCAGTAAATTAACTCGCCATAGGGCAGCCAAAGGTACATCCTGTTCTTAAGAACATTCAACTGAAAAGACAAAGAAATACTGGAAATTTATTAAGGTAGCTAATGCATTTTCAGAATTTGAAATGCTGAAATTAATATAACTTTCATACATCAAGGAATATGACAGAAAAGGCTGATTAAATGATTTCCGATGACGGTATAAACACAATAGCATAGAGTTTATTTCTTGAATTGCAAGAGAACTCCTGAACAAATATGAAACAAGTAATAGTCATTTTGTGCTAAGACTATTCAGAGGGAGATTAAAAAAAAAAAAAACGTTGTAAAGTTCATAATACCTACTCCTGTAACTTGAATTAATAAGATTAGTTTATGATATCACAATGGAGAATCGCTTATACTCCTTTGTGAGTTTTCTTGTTTATTTATCACTGATACAATTAAAACAATTTGTTTAGTTATCTACCTAAAGGAAGAAACCTTTTACAGTCATTAAACCAGCATATCTACATGGAAATGTAGGGAATTTGCTTAACTAGTCTTGAACAGTATCAGAAAGAGTTATGGATGTCAGAGACAAAGCAGTACCAGAGACCGCAGGTAAGAAAGCCAAATTTTCCAGCAGGAAGGTGCTATTATCTTCCCAGGTGCTACACGTCTGAAAGGAAAACTGTAAGTAAAGCATTTAATTTCTTTAAGTATTTATATGTGTATTTGACTATAAGCACTATCTGCCTGGAGTGAAGATCATTACTTCATTTTTATTTCGAAATTTATTGATTACATAAATTTCTTATCCACCTCAAGTATTGTGTTCAACCTGATATGCAGAAGGCACTTATTTTACAGATACACTGACAGGACACTCCTTCCTACATGCTTCCTTTACAGATTATTAAAAAAATGTTGATTTAAAAGTTTTAAATTTCCTTTCAACTTTCATGCCTCTTTAACTCAATTTGTCACACCAAGTTTTGTTCTCAGGTGGGAAAACTATCACAGAAATTATGGTGTATAAATTCAAATGACTTCTCCTTCAAAGACTGTAGGTGGAACTGATCTGTGATATGCCCATAAAACTGATTACTACCTTAATTAGAATTATTTTAATAAATTATGGCAATTATTTTGAGCTATCAAATTAAGCTCCTAGAAACACGTGTGTTTTGACCAATATCTCTCTTGCACTTTGGGGCTTGAAAGAGAAGGTTTTATGCCAAAACACTCATTCTTTCAATTATTAATTTTTTAAATTAATTAAATGTTCTAAAAGAACACTCAAGATGAAATATCAAAAAATAGCAACCTACAAAATGACAAAACCAAAACTACCTACGTAACTGCAATGTGTCTCTCCTAAAACATGCATCTAAAATAAATACCTGGTCAAGCATGACAAAGTCAACTGTGAAGAAATCGGACATGAAATTCTTTCTTACACACTTTTCACCTGAATTTGTCTTTTTGCAATGCCATCTCATCTTCTATCTGTCCTGAAGACTGTATTCAAGCATTAATAACAGGTTTGGGAATTACAATTTTAAACAGGCAAATCTAAAAGCAATAATCTCATTTTTTAATATTCATCTGTTTTTTTCAATCTTGGAAACAACATTAGCCAAGCAATTGCTGTGTTGCTTGAAGTAACAGGAGTCTCACACAGATCAGTTTACTATATGTTCAGATACATTCCATAAGTCTTAAAGTCATGGGTTTAAAGTCAGGGAAAACAGACAATGACATAATTCTTAAAAATAATAAAAATTTTAAAAAATTTTTAAAAAAAGAATGTTTTCTTATTAGAGTTCCATTTCCTCTTTCCTGAAATTAAAAATAAAAATCAATAAATAAAAAAGTAAAACTGGAGATGTGAATTGTACTTCTGGCTGCACCAGAAGTGATTTTGGTTAAACCCAATCTGTAAAAATGAGTGAAGGGAAGGAATATTCATGTATCACCACAGGTTAGTAAGTGAGATGCTTCACAGCAAAAGCCGATGAAAAATGCAGTGAGTAATTAACAACTAAACAGCAGAGGCAAGAAATCCTGGACCCAACCAGGTTTCAGTTCAGGACATTTTCAATTAAGATAGTATTATTTAGAGTTCATGCTCTAAAGTTTCCTTGAGGGAGTATGGGTAAGATAAAAGCAGAATAATTACTAAATAAAGACAATACTGTGACGGAGGTGCTAGACAGTATTTTGCAGCTTATGTTTTTTGAGGGTTTCTCCCTCAAAAATTTATTTCCAGATGAACAATTATACTCTGTGCGACTCGATTCTGCATCTAAAAAGTAGAAATAGTGTTTCTTTCGACCAGATATTTTCTATCTTGTCTAGTTATCCAGTGAAGCAGCTAAGCAAAGAGCTGATCTGCAAGATACTGAAACAGCAGCAACAGGAATAGAGGAAGCTACATTTAATTAAGCAAACAGTGCTTGAAGTAATATCCACATGGACGTCAAGCAAACCTCCTCATCTGCTATTTTAAGGTCACTTAGAAGCACTTTATGACCACATTTCTACACTAAAATAAATTCAGTTACAGTTTTCACCCACTTCATGGTCCTCTGACATTCCCAGAAGAATGTAAAAAGGCTTCAGTTTCAATGAGAATCAAATAAACAAGTTTGGCATGTTACTGATGTGATAATTGCCCACATCTGAAGTACAAATTGCTCTGGAAGCAGAGGAAATTATCAAAGCAGTGCAAAGAATAACTGGAAGTAATGAAATTACTTCACAAAAACCAAGATTTAGAGCTGAATTTAGAAAAAGTTATTGACGATCAGATTTAATCAAAAGGTTTTAAGGAAGTCACATAACCCTGTAATCAGGGGTACTGAACCTGGTTTTACAAACACACCATATGGAAGAATCTAATACTAGTAGGAGCTGGGACTTGATGATCTAATGTGTGTTTTCCTCACCTGATTCCCAAGGCACTGTAATTTTTCTAGCTGAACAGTGTGCTACCCTATCGTAATGCACAAGAGCTTATAACAAAATCAGATGATCATATCAAGATCAAACCAGCAATAACATTCAAAAAAAAAATCATGTTGTATTTAAGGACTTCATATTCACTGACAGATTTAATGTGAAACATTAATATGAACCAAATATTATTATTTCCAGGTTCATCTGCCAGAACTCCATTACAATGGTTCCCTTTTACGTGGTACTCCTTATTTGCAGAAAGTGTTAAGAATTTGCACTGCATTTAAAGAACACTGTGTAAAGTCACAGATGTAAGCCATGGTGATTACACAGTAGGATTTCATTCATTTTAACCTGAAGGCTATGATTATGCCTCTTATGAGTGTAAGAAAGCGTTGCCTGCCCCTGTAGCAAATTTCTTCAATAACATTTGCATTCAACTCAGTATTACTAAACACTTGTAATGGGTTCAGTTTGAGATAAAAAGATGGGGAAAACATAAAATAAATAGTAATATGGGTTTATTATTTTAAGTTTTTTTATTGACACAATAGCTTCTGCACACATAAAGACTCGATTATCCGCCAGCAGTGAACAAAGAGTGGGTAAAAAGAAGAAAAGAAAAAGAAAATGGAAGTATGTGTATATATGACGGAAGAAGAAGCTGATTACCAAATTGACTTCAGCCAAAAGATTTTTTTGACACAAACATGAAATTCAGGATGAATCTGCTATAGTTCTACAATAAATACCTTTCTACAGCTATCAACGTGTTTATTCTACACACCAGCAACAAGCACAGTGACACAAACATACAGATAATCTGTATGTCTGTATACTTATAGATAATATAAAACAGAAGACAAGGAAGTTGTTCATTGCTACTAATTTTCTCCCCCATGCCCATTTTGAGTCTTCACAGTTTCTGTATTGTAGGGATGTGTCTTACAGATCACCGTGTTATTTGGATTTCAGTGCAATGGAAGTTGCAACTGTCCATACGTACCATACAAATTCATTTTCAGTATTAAAAAGGAATGCACGGTTTCTGACGTTAAGATCAAGTATGTGTACACCTTTAATACCTGATGACACAGCTCATGTACAATGACCATGGTGACATCCAGTAGGTATAATATAGAAGAAATGCTTGGATCTAGCAGTATCCTTTGCTCCACAAAAACACTCAGTCCCCAGTTCTCCATAGCAGCATATGGATGCTTAGGCACAGCTAACAGATCTAGAAATAGAAAAAAATATATGTTAACTCCTTGTGGGAGCTACTATGCTGAAGAACTATTGTAAGTAAGACCACAAGTCATCACTAAAAGCATTTTAAATAACACACATTAAAATAAACTTTAATTTCAGCTTTCTAGCTATGTTATTTAGGAAACATTAATAAAATATTAATTTTTTTTATTTTATGCCAATATCTGCTCACACAGCAGATAATATGAGCACTATGTTATTGATGTAATACATTACTTAGTATTTCTAATTGAAGCATTAGATAAAGAATTCAGCTTATTTACAACACCTTATTGATTTATTACTGGGTTTGATACTGCTTCTCATGTTTACTATACCGTATCAATATGGTAACACAGACTTTTACATTAAAGCAACTTCTTTGTGAAAATCTTATACATCAAACTGCATGTAACCTGAGATTAAGGAGTGCACTGAAGAAATACTGTTTCATAACAAGAAAAATGGCAAATTCTGCAGGATCATCACTTCTTACAAAACAAGGCATCTTTCAGTGTGCACTATTGCTAACACACATCCTCTGGGAACAAGACTGCTGGCAGCCACTTCTCAGCCCCACAGGCTGGAAGCGGGACCATACACAAATTCAGGAGCATTACTTCAGTTTTGTATTCAGTAAGTGACAAAATATTGGGAAGAAAATGGGAAGGTGCTTCATCAGGTAAAAAAAAAAAAAAGCAACGAGGAATCTCAGTGGCACGAGGTTGAACAAGACAATATTAAAATACATGTGTTAAAAAAATCTTACTGCAGAAGATTGAGAAGGAAATAAATTGACTATCAGTCTGGAAAGAAATCTAAAATTATAGTAAATTTCCTTAGGGAATAAACCAATACACACTGCTGCTTCACAACAAAAAACATCTGAAAGAGCCCAGAAACAACTTGTATGTCTGTGAGAAGCCCAATGCAACCCATGTACAAATCAGACAGAATTTTGGAAGCTAAAATGTCACATCAGCATGGTGCTCCCTCCAGTCAAACTAATTAGCCTGACTTCTTAATTAATTAGCATGGCTGCCACACTCTTCTCTCATTTGGCTCTATTACTTCTGGTTCCAAAGCCAGTTCATTGGCAGTTATCACATGCAGTATATATGTAGGTGGTAGTTCATGGGTGGGATTGAAGATCTCTGGGGTGACTTCCTAACTTGAACAAGAAAAATTCTGACCTACTTATTCTAAATAATACTCTAAATTATATCACAGCACTGACATATCTCCTAAGTTTGTCTGCCTTGGCTTGCTGACATGTGGTAGAACTGGCTTGGAGCACAAACAGACTACAGGAGCTCTACTCCAGAATTCACAAGAAATTGCCACTAAAATATCTGGAATGGAGAACTTGGGTGTATTCTAGCATTCCCTAAAAGGGTCTACTGCAAGAAGCACAAAAATACCAGCCTCCTAGCAGAAGCAAAGAGGGAGTCTAGTAGATACTTCCAAATACAAGCAAAGTAAAAATACCCAAATCACAGAGACGTACAACAAATGCTAAAGAATTTTATAGAAAAGCAGACACTAGAACAAAAGCCTAATTAAAGAAATTAAAGCAAAACTCAAAAACATGCTGTTCAAGATTAGACATGAGAGTAAATTCAAAATTACATGCTTTCCTTTCCTTTTTCAGTTGAAGCTCGAACTGTACTAATTTTTTAAGAGTAACTGCAATTTGTTAGAAATTACACACAAAATTAAAAACTCGTGTCTACTATACAAAGAAGGGATAAGGATGGGGGAAAAAAGGACACAGAAGCTACTGGGTGAAATCACTGAAGTTAACAGCCAATCTTCACTGACATTAAATAAGGATCTCTCCCATTCTCAAGTCTGTAAAGAAAGCCATATCTCCATAACTTCTCCTACAGCAATTAAACCTTCCTCAAAAAGTGTCTTCAGAAGATGAATACAGACTCTGCTCTTATTTACCTCAATTAAGTTTTTCCGCAACTCCCCTCAAATTAGCAGAGAGACACAGAACAAGAACTGGCACAAAAGTAAAACCAGTTTCCCACTTTTCACAGATCCTTTTGTTTCTTTTCTCTCCTTTGGGTTCATTTGTAGTTTTTTGACTTTCTTGCCAGTCATAACGTTTAGATTTTGTCACTGTCAGACAGTTATAAATTGGAATAACTCTCTGGCACTGCAAAACAAGGGTGAGGTCTCACACTAAACACCTTTACGGCTAATTATAGACTGTCTTTCACCATTTGTGTCATTGGTATTGGTCTGCTGGTTTAGACTGATACTTTATAGCACTGACATACCAATAAAACCTTCCAATTTGACGGACAGATAACTGCCTTGCAGGTAGACAACCACATAGGGACATTCTAAATCACTTTCATCCAACACAGCCTCGTTGCTCTGCAAGCCTGAAAACTCCTCTCATGCACTGGCTAATGCTTAAAGGGCTTTTCTGAACAAAGAAAACAAAACATATTAGATAGCCCCGTCAGTTTCCAGAATGTTAAGCCCTGAAGGCAACATGACCATACCAGTAACGTCGAATGAATATGAGCACACTGCCTTTTCCTAGTGCAGGGACTGATACACTGCATTTTAATGCCAAAGAAGAGACTTAATATCCAGTGACTGACAGAATGGACCCTGAGCATAGTCATTGTCATAAAATTTTTTGCTTCTGATTGTCCACATCCAAACGCTGAATATCCAAGACTTGATATTAATTTTTAGTGGTTTGCCTTTGCTTCAAAAGCTTCTACTACCTTTAAATAAAATTCCAAACACGTTTTGTTTTGTGGCAAAAGACACACTAATCTATACCTTTCTCTGGGGAGGAATAAATGTTTGATTTCAGAGGAACAATGTTTGATGTTCAAGTCTCAACAGGAAAATTTGTATTTCCCTCTCTTTATCACACCATTAGAGCCCTGAGGTAGGTATCCTGTCCTCCTGGAGGTGACATCTGTTAAGGTTTCGGTGTCATCTTTAAGGAGTAAGGTAGAAAAGGAGGGGTGATGATACACATTTTGATGGAAATATCACTCACACATATCACTGTGCAAAAGTGTTCTGCACTGACTGCAAAATGGGAACCACTAAATATATAACAGTTTGTGTATATGCTGCATCCAGTCACTCTGCACACTATTTAATTAAATTCTTTGTGAAGCACTTGTGAATGTTTGATTATGTGGATATTACTGGAGAAATAGAAATGTGTGTTATTGCTTGCAGAGAATAATATCCTCATGCATCATAAAACTGTTACTTGAGATTTCCTGATACAGCAATGCAGAGTCCTGTGTAGTGCTGGAATAATAAAGGGTTTCCACCTCCTGGCCTTCACAGAGACTAAATTCATGACTAAGAAGTAAAAACTATACGGCTAAAATAAAATCACCAGACAAAAATGTGTTGGAACTTTACACTAACATGCTATACTGGTACAATTATTTGAACACAAGGATAGCCTTTGGACTTTTAAAAATCTATTTCTGTGTGAATCTCATGGGAAAAAAAAAAAGTTACAAAAAGTGTACGTAGCTCAATGGATGCTTTTGTTTCCAAACATTTAATTAAGGCATCATAACTGAGTGAGCTCACATGAAAATATAATCCTCTTACATTATTAGCAAGTTATCATCATAGTGCAAAATGGAATCAGCGATTTAACACCTAAGTGGGTCACAAAGTGAATACGCATTTGATGAGTTTTTATCTCTGAACTTAGTATCTGTGAAATTTGCACAAATGATACTGTTTTTTCTTTTACTCCACTCAGTTATGATATTTTCTAGGCAGTTAAAAATGTTTAAATTCCCCAACCACACAACTGGGAACATCACTCTTGCTTTAAATGAGAGCAGAGGTAGAACTGAATTAATTAATTAAATTTATTAAATGCAAAACAAGATCAAACTCTCTCATGGAGAGTACCCTGAATTTGGGGGTCCTTTTCCCCTCCTTTATTATCCTCCTCTTTTTCAAACATCAAAGTACCTTTTCCACCACTGTGATTCCACTATATTTAACCACCTCCATTTGAAGTTGGACAAGCATACTGGTTTAACAGACACACATCCTTAATATACATATAAATATGAGTGTGTGTATAAACATAGACAGAGAGACTGTCAAGTCTACATTTACTATACATTTACTATACTGCAATCTTATTTGGTTTAGCTGCTGGTTGTAATGCAAATAAGGACTAGATTCTGCAGAACATATGACAGTGTTGAATTTCTAATACTCAAGGTAGCTGTTATAAAGCATCTATTAAGGGAAAATAATATCTAGATGTGTGAATGATTTCTGTAAATGTTCTGTTAGCATACATGAGAAGTCTCCCAAATAAACATGAGACCCCTAAAACACTACAACTTGTAAATGAGAACATACAGTGACAAACGAGAATTTTCTGTCAAGAATCTTTATACATATATTTTTCTTAATAAACCTAGGAGGCGCAGAGAAATAAACTGTTCATTAAGTGAACTTCATGTTTTTCCCTTATAATCCCTATTTTTATTACAAAAATGACACTACAAAATAACTTGAATTTACCTACGCGACCCTTGTGACATTATTTTCATTCATTTCTTCAGAGAGGTTTTCTTCAAGGTATCAGGTACAGATATCATGCTCCCAGAATTTCCTTTTTTTTTGACAAAAAATTCAAAAAATTAAGAGGAAGCATGGACTAATATCACCTTCTTTTATTCATACCATAAGTATGGGTTTTGCCCTTTTCTAATGCTGCATAATGTAATGACTAGCTTTATTAAATCTCTCTAAAGGTCTGGTGCAATTTCCTAAATGAATGCTGTTTACAAAAAAAAAACACCGACAACTATTTACTAGAAGGGTTTATATTTCTGCCACTCAGATTCCTTAGTCAAAGTCATTTCTTTTACTAAGCAGAAGATGGTTTTCTATAGCACAATACCACTTAATGATCTATGCAAATTTTAAGGAACAAGCCACCTACAAAAAGTGACA